TAGACGAAAATTGAAGTCATATCTGAAATCAACATTAAAAACAGGTTAGGGAACACGCACGAGTATTAGTTTAAAAACATCAAAGCTCAAGCAGACGGGTGTAATTAACGATAGTACAGCACAAACCCTCACCCTATTGTTATATGTGTGACCCTGTTCAGTATTACGCGTCTGAGTCATCCCTGTTATAATCCCCGACTCTTCTGTAGTGAGTAGTTAACATGGTTTGACCCATGACGTTATCTACTGTATAGCGATTTGGAAATAAACTGAATCACACACACACACACACACACACACACACACACACACACACACACACACACTCTTCCGTGTATTCTGGGAAGGAAAAGATTTCCACTCGCGCAAATAAATAAAAAAAAAAATATTTGGATATATTTGTATAAATCTTGTGTAAACGGCTGCACATCCACACAACACACACAGTCTCCATCACCCAGGCCTGGCCACCATCCCTAATATTTATTTATTTATTTATTTATTTATTTATTATTTGTTGGTGCATATATTCAATTACTTCTATACTCCTAATCACTATACTTCTTGGAACAGTGACATCATATTCCTCTTTTTAATTATATTTTATTTTCACTGTTTATCCATACAAGTCAATAATTTTCTCTATTTGTGTGTGTGTGTGTGTGTGTGTGTGTGTGTGTGTGTGTGTGTGTGTGTGTGTGTGTGTGTGTGTGTGTGTGTGTGTGTGCAGGTTTATCCCACAACCCGACTCACTGTTACTCTCTCACAAAACAACACTGTCCCCCTGAACCACGTCCTTTAAAACGTGTAATCAGATGAGAACAATTGGTAAAATTATAATGTTTATATTCCTGTCTTGTGCTGCTGAAGGAGTAGGAAGCCGGGACTAGTTAAGCCGCGCTTGTTACCGAGGTGGCCGCCAGACGACCCTGAACGTCAGCTAACTTACTCCCGGGAAATATTACAGTTACTCCCATGACTTGCTTACCGTTGTGCAGGGGTGGGCAATTATTTTTGATGGAGGACCACTTCATGAATGGTGGCACTACATCCTGCTACCCACACCTGCTGCCCACACCTGATCTATCACTACATCCTTGACCACCGAAGGGTCAAGACGTACCTGGCGCTCCTCTCGGAGCAACCAGGTCAACTGTTAAGTTGGCCCCTACCAACTCCCTCCCCTGAACCCTCCTCCCCACCGGAATATCAACAAGTTCTCGCCAGAAGTTACAATTTCATTTAGGAAAGGAATGGAACCAGTGTTAAACAGAGGTGAACAGTGGTGAACAGTGCTTAAGTCAGTGAGAACAACTCAACAGTAACAGTCGCCAAGTTAACCTTCACACAGTGAGGTCCCAGGTACCCAGTGATAACGGCCCGTGAGACAACAACCAGCGATGTGTTAATCCGTCTACGATAGGAAGGCCTGGGACCACACCTCACTCTCATCTATGGGGAATTACTACACCACGTGAGGTCCCTCATAACACCATCACTTCACCAATGCCCCTCATAACACCATCTGTGAGGGAATTACTACACCACGTGAGGCCCCTCATAACACCATCTGTGAGGAAATTACTACACCACGTGAGGCCCCTCATAACACCATCTGTGAGGGAACTACTACACCACGTGAGGTCCCTCCTAACACCATCTGGGAGGGAGTTACTACACTACGTGTTTGCTGTTCAACACCTACATTAATCTGTATGTTCATTGTATGCTCCTTTACCTTTCTCTAATGAAGGCTTTTGTTAAACCACCAATGTATGTAATAAATCATTTATGTCCAATGTATATTTTCAGCCTTCGGGCTGCAGAACTTTTTCAATAAACCGTCAATTATTATTATTATTATTATTATTATTACTTCGCGGGCCACAGGTTAACAGCGACGAGCCAGTATTGCTGCTATGTCCACCCAACTTCCAAAATTGTCCTTTCTGTAATTAATAAGAATTGTTTTTTTCTGATTGCCAAATGCAGTGGCGGGCCACAGAAATAATTTGGCGGGCCGTACTATAGATTTTCAGTACCTGTAAAAATATATACAAAAATCCATAAAAAATTTCCAAGGTAGAAATTCCATCACGTACATTATCCCTGAGCCACAAAAAATATCGAGCAATATATTTCAGAGTTGGGTTTTTCTTATTGTCTTTTCCTTCTTCCTCCTCCTCTTCTCCCTCCTTGCCTGTCACCTGTTTCACTTCCTTGATTTTCACCTCTTCCTCCTCTACTTCCTCGTCTTCCTTCTCCTACTACTACTACTACTACTACAACTACTACAACTACTACTACTATTATTATTATTATCATTATCATTGTTATTAAAAATATTATTTTCATTGATATCAATATTATTATTATAAATATTTCCCTTTGCTTATTTTACATTTTATATTTGTTTTTACTATATATTCTTCTTAACCTAAAATACCATGATTATTATTATCATCATTATTAATTATCATCCACATTAGCATAACCATCAACGATAAAAGCTATTAGTAATATTATCATTAGGCAACATTACCTTTCAGTACAGTACCAAATACACAGACAAATGCGATATTACCCAAAATGCAGTTCTTTAACCTCATCGCCTCGCAGTATCTTACGTCTCATTGAGTGTGTCGCACGACCACGGATACCACCTCACGCTCTGTCGCCACGCGGTATTGTCTTGGTCACTCGCTTTTAAACACTAGTCATCAGATTGTCTGTAGTAACGTGAGAAAAGTTTAATTTGTTAAGCTCGTGTGTGTGTTCTTGTTTGATTGGAGTTGATTCTGATTTGTTATCCGTGTATGTATGTATGTATGTATGTATAATGGTTGTCCCTCGTGTAACGAGGATGGTCGGCCCAAGGGCCACCAAGGCTTGAATTTGTTTAAGGTGTAGAAGCTGTCGCCAACACAACAACCACACCCTAAGTTAACGAGCTGCATGACCCAGTGTCAAGGAATAGTCCGAGAAGACTGGACAACTCGCCAACTGCACTAGCTAACTATTACCCCGAAATACGATCTGCAGTAATTGGGGACCTGGATGTTAATCGATTTGCAGATCGTGGTCCGGGGTAATGGTTAGCCAGTGCAGTTGGCGAACCTAACGAAATGTTATTGATGTATGTATGTATGTATGTATGTATGTATGTATTAAAGTATGTATATGCGTATACATATGTTTGGTAGTATAAAAACGTACAGTATGTGTAGGCTAGGACATAGATATAAGGCATGAGACAGATAGAGAGATATAGACAGACAGACAGACAGACAAAAACACTACCGTTGTGTGTGTGTGTGTGTGTGTGTGTGTGTCAATAGGTCAAAGATGTCCTATGAGGCCTGAGTCAAGATACAGTTCATGAAGATCTCAGGGTGACAGGTGCTGAAAAAAGGAGGAGGACGACAAGGTTATTTTATCATCCTGTAACATCCCTGTGACCTCTGACCTTTACCCTCACTACTACTACTACCATCCCTGTGACCTCTGACCTTTACCCTCACTATCACTACTACCATCCCTGTGACCTCTGACCTTTACCCTCACTATCACTACTACCATCCCTGTGACCTCTGACCTTTACCCTCACTACCACTACTACCATCCCTGTGACCTCTGACCTTTACCCTCACTATCACTACTACCATCCCTGTGACCTCTGACCTTTACCCTCACTATCACTACTACCATCCCTGTGACCTCTGACCTTTACCCTCACTATCACTACTACCATCCCTGTGACCTCTGACCTTTACCCTCACTACTACTACTACTACCATCCCTGTGACCTCTGACCTTTACCCTCACTACCACTACTACCATCCCTGTGACCTCTGACCATTACCCTCACTTCCACTACTACCATCCCTGTGACCTCTAACCATCACCACCACAACCACCCACGTGTTTTGTCACATTACTGGTAGACAGATGTCGGCAAGAACTCCTGCAAGAAGTAATATAGAATTGGGTATATACCTGTACAGAGATGAAAGAGAATGGGTAGCATCCTTGTAATTGGGTAATTAAAATGGGCAATTCTTATACTTGGTAACTAAGAATGGGCAATACACCTGCACAGAACTATTAGAGAAAAGGCATCGCACCTGTACAGAATTAAGGATATTCAATACCATGAACACCTGTGCAGAGATAATCAAGTAGTAAATGTCAATGTTTATATTTGGGTGTCAAGCTTCTTCAAAATTCATTCTAAAACAATATGTGGGAGCAACAACAAGTGTTTTCAGTCTCTTTTGTCATTATCTGCATTTCATACAACTATCTGAAGAACCATAAATAATAATAATAATAATAATAATAATAATAATAATAATAATAATAATAATAATAATAATAATAATAATAATAATAATAATAATAACAGTAGTAATTCCAATAAACTACTTACAGTAGATACCAGAGCCACCAATCAAGACCTCATCTAAATTCTCACACTAAATCAGATTTTATTTTACCGCGAGCCAGTGTGTGTTTGTTTGTTTGTGTGTGTGTAGTACCTGGGAACGAGGTAGTAGGAACTATGCTCATCGTGGCGACAATCACCAAGCATTAGCAATAACTACCCGCAGTCCGCTGCTCGTCCCGCAACATCCGTATTCGCTAGCATTGACATTTCCCCATCAGGGTCGTCCAGTGGAGTGATCACGACGAGAGTCAAGCTACGGAAATGTCCCTCTCAGAACGATCGTCTTCTTCATGTCTAAGTGGTTTTAAGTTTTTACGCGCTTGGTTTCTATGTTTTCTAAATGAACCAAGAGTAGTTTGAGGCCTTTAGGGTGTTCTAAAGCTTTTGTGGTTGGTGTACAAGATATAGGGAACAGGTTAATGAGAGAATAAAGGAGTTTAGAGGTGTTGCCACGTCACGCGGAGCTGCGAAAGGTCCTGACCTACCAGCTTGGGGGTCGACCGGTGCAGCGGCGGAGGTATATAACGAAGGCGCTCCGCGTCCCCAGACACAGTCAGTCCTGCAGCACCACAATGAGGGCAGTTGTAAGTATCTCCTTCTCTCTCATTCTTCCCTCACAAAGACGACAAAACAACGTGAAGTATCCACACCAACAAATTAAACTCATTTTTTTAGAGCCACATAAACAGGTTCCACCACCCTTATAGAATTTTGCAACAGATGTTTTGGGCAGATATGTCACACCATCAATTAGTCCTCATTTTCTGATTCCAGAATTCCACTTGGTTATCCATAGTTTAAAAAATCCTTTGGTATATGTATTCTAAACATAATCCATCCTTATTGTTCCTTTAATAAACAACAAAACTTACTTTTACTCTTAGAATGTAACTCGACGCTTATAAATCAAACACCTCGTAGCACCGATGATTACACTGTGGAAAGTTAAGAAAGATTATGGCGAGATATACAGATAACTTCTTTCACTTCCTCTACATCAATGGGTGTTCTTCTCCAGCTGACTCCACACATGATGTTGTGCCTTGATATAAGAAGAGTATTAGTGTTCAAGTCTCGTGTTCAGTGAGGGAGTTGTGGATTCTGTGGGCCCCAGTGGGTGTTAATAGGTGTTCTCTCTCTGGCAAAGGTGTAAGCCACTCGGGTCAATGAAGGTGTATAAGCTACAAACTCGTGTACATTTCCATATACTCTCTCTCTCTCTCTCTCTCTCTCTCTCTCTCTCTCTCTCTCTCTCTCTCTCTCTCTCTCTCTCTCTCTCTCTGTCTATTCGTCTGTGTATATATCTGTCTTTTATCTTCGTTATTATTTATCTTTCTTTTTATTTCTCTCTGTCACTCTCTCTTCATTTTGTCTCGCTTTTTCTCTCTACGCTTAATTATTTTTTTGTCTGTTCGTGTATTTATCACTTTGTCCTTATTTCCTACTGATCAGCAGTCATTTATCTACCATTGTCTATATATTACATTATATTACATTATTTTTATTATCTCTCTCTCTCTCTCTCTCTCTCTCTCTCTCTCTCTCTCTCACTTCCACACTTGTTTTTTCTTCTTTCGTTTTCTGTTTTTTTCTTCATATTACGATTAACTGTTGTGGTTTCCATTGTCTACACTGTCGCGTCACACCTCCGTTACTCTCCACACTGTTGGCCTTCGCAAGAGAAATGATTCCTACTCGTGGAGAAACATTTAACCATTGTGCAGTCTAAGAATGTTTATTTTCTAGTAATTTTATACCTGATTTGTTCTTCTCTTTTTTGTGGTCTTCTGTTACTATTGTTTTCGTTTATTTCCCATTTTTTCCGTCGCCCAAGAATATAGACAATGATAAGATTGAAGGAAAACGGAGACATGCCGATAGTTTATGGGGAGACTGTTATAAAATTCATCTCCATTAATTACGAAAGTTTGTATTAATTTGGTGATTTTTTGTTTTCTTTTTAGACATTGAATTATATTTATCAATGCTGTAAGAATGGAGAATGTTTCACTTTTATCTTATAACAAATAATAATTTTTTCATAATATTTCAAAAGAACGCACATCTATTCTTGTTGCAGCTCGAATTAATCTTCACACATTATTTTCTGCCCCCGTGTCTGTGTCTGTCTTTCACCAAAAATTCTGCCATATTCTAACCCATCAATAGTTCTCAAAATAGCTTCACTAATATAAGATGCCGAGTTTTTTTTTGTAATTCTGTTTTTGTCAGATATTGATCAGTAAATGGGACCTTCACATAACAGTGTGACAGTCTCTCTCTGACAGCAGCCAGACGAGAGATGTCAGCTTAATCCAGTGCTTTGACAATGTAAAGTGACTGTTAGCCTCTGTGATATTCCCCAGGCAAGATGGTTTCCCCGAGGCAAGACTCATAACATGAAAGGATAATGAGATAGAGAGAAAACTAACACAAATATCAGTAATGAATCGACCTAGCAAAATGAAGATAAGATGGCAGTTGGTAGTGAACGAAACACGACTAAGAAATGTAGCTTTATTCCTGACGTTTCGCCACAAGACTTTTTCAAAGGATGCTTAATATTTCGTCATGAACAGAAGATGAGAGAAGATTGGATATCGAGGAGAGTAAGAATTGTAGATGGTATTAAGGTTGGACTAGGCTGAGAGACTCTCTGAAGAATCTATCGCTCTTTAAGGTGGTGGTACGTGTATGGTAGCCGACAGCAGTACCTCATGTATCTACAGTTGTGTCCATCTCGTTTACTGAGCTTATATGATGTGGCAGACTGGCTAATAGCACTTTTTTAAACGCCTATCATGTTGTTTATAGCAAGGCAAACGTTAGTAGTAGTTATCGGCTTGTTTGGAGTTTTTTTTAAAGGTAGAAGATTTATAAGACGTATTTCACAAGCGTTCCTTTGCTTACACTCTTCCTCCATACATCTTTCTGCCCATATATAACCCCTCATAACCCTCATAACCCTTCATAACGCATCCCTGTTGTTTGCAGATATTATTAGAACGTCAGATTGCCTAAGCCATTACGTGTCCTTTATTATTTGTCGATTAAATTCTTGTTTGCTGTACTTCCTGTATGTTTATACTACGTTCAATACTTATCCCTTGTTGAGTGCATGACATTCTTGTTTGCAGAATTAATAAGACGTGTAGGTGTGTCTCTACCACTTTCCTAACGTGTAATTTTGTTGTTACCAGGTGATCATCTCTTGTATGGCGGCTATGGCGGCGGCCCAGGGACAGTCTCACTTCCCTCAGGTTAGGGAGGCCCATCACTTACAGGTAATTAACGATTACACAAGAATTGTTTTGTTTGTTTTACATTTGTCTCTCCTTCGTCTTGATCACCACCAGGGACTTCATCACTCTTACAGCCTTAACCTGTGATTAGTGTGTCTCTTATATGGGTGTGACTCCTCAAGTGTGTTAAAAATCTGGATTGTGTATACGAGTTGTGGGCTTCATTGTAACTAAATCTCGTTCAGCTGAGGTTGAAATGTCAAATTTATGAAAAATCTGCTTCATCGTGTAAGACGTTTCGTGTGTGGAATTCTGTTTTGTGTGGGGCTTTTTCAAACTGATTTTGTTAAAGATGTATTTGTATTATTACGTAAAATCTGCCAAGCTTGAAGCTTGATATTGATGTACAGAAAAGGTAAAAAAGATAAAAATAATTACTTCGTGTGAAGGTTCCAAACAGATGACCTAAGAGCTACAGTATGTTATCAGTCTGACTCGTGTAGACTGTCAGCAGAAGACTCAGGCTAAATTTGTCTTGCCCAGTGAAATCACTGCCTTAACCTGTAAATCCCAGCCTTGGTCTGTTAAATCATAGTCACAAATATTGTAATATAAAGTTATGTGCTACCTTTACCTGTTGACTTACGTCATGGTTGTGTTAACCAGGCCCTCAGACAAGCTCACTTGCCCCAAGACGCCAACGTGCTGGAGGCCACCGCGACGTTCCTCGACAAGTTTGCTCAGCTGAAGGCTCTGGCTGATGCTGCCCCCGACCCAAGACCAAACCAGCACCAGGTGAGTCCCCCTCTACTTCACCTGTCCCCACCCAACCCCAGGTGAGCCCCCTCTACCTCACCTGTCCTCACTCAGCCCCAGGTGAGTCCCCCTCTACCTCACCTGTCCCCACTCAGCCCCAGGTGAGCCCCCTCTACCTCACCTGTCCCCACCCAGCACCAGGTGAGTCCTTTTCTACGTCACCTGTCCCCACACAACCCCAGGTAAGTCCCTCTCCACCTCACCTGTCCCCACCCAACCCCAGGTGAGTCCCTTTCTACCTCACCTGTTCACAAAGACTCAGATATTCTAACCTTAAGGTCTTCTGTTCTTTTACGTATTCTCTGACAGAAAGATGGATTTTCAACATTTCAAACGTTACGTATTTTCGCCCAATTAAAACTGTGTGAATGCATAAATGTTAACTATCGCCAGTCTCCCTGAAAACACGACCTTTATCTTAGTTGAAGGCTAATATTGACTGGAGGTGATTCTTATTTCCTCAGAGGCAACAATTCTCCGCCCCTCAGCGTGCTCCTCAGCGCGCCCCTCAGCCTGTCCCTGTCCATCAGATCCAAGCCGCCCCTCACCGCTTCTCCGCCCCCCAACAATCCGCACAACCCACAGCTGAGTTTGACGTAACACGAGAGATCGGTCAACTTCTCGCCCAGCACCAGGTCGCTCACCCCACCCAAGCCCCTGCACCCCGCCGCCAAGCCCAACAACACAGAGCCCCAGTCCAGCACAGAGCTCCAGTCCAGCACAGAGCCCCAGTCCAGCAACAGAGAGCCCCTGCCTTCCCCACATTCGATGTCCTCGACAACCTTGGGACTCACCAACAGCCCCAGCAGTTCCGTCAACCAGTCCGTCAACAAGTTCAGCAAGTTGCTCGCCCCGTCGACCCCAACATTCCCATCACCAACCAACATGGACACGTGGTCAATCCCCTTCAGTACTCCGGACCCCTCGCCCACTCCATCCCCGCGGGCGTGGATGGCCAGGTCCAGAACCCGCAGTTTACACCTGAGGTAGCTGACGCACAGCGCGCCCTCGCCCAAGCCCACCGCAGCATCCTTCAGCAGCAAGCCGCCCTCGGCCCCAGTCACTTCTAAGCCCCCCCCATTCCTGATTATTCCCACCCTTTCCTACCCAACCCCTCCCATTCCCATCCTCTTTTCCACACCCTCACCGACCTTAAGTCACCCCTTCCTAGTCTTACTTAGTCGCCGCTACCACCACCACCACCCACCCAAACCCTTCCTTACCTAATTCCCACCCATTGTTATCCACCCTAACCCACCCCTTCTTATTCCCACCCACTTCCACCTAACCTCCGCCCAGTCCTGCCCGCGCACAGTTACCAACATCTTCACAACTGATGGCAATGAGACTGAAGGCGTTTCACAATATATTTATAAATACTCTTCTTCTGTAAGACGTATTTTTCATTAATGTGGTAAAAACTGCTATTATTAGGCAGAAGGTTGACTGTAAATATATACATAAATAAATGTATAAATAAACTTTATACACTAGAAATAAAGAAAGTTTCATTTTTATCTTTAGTGGAAAGTTTCACAAAAGTTAAGACATTTCGAGAAAAACAATATATTACTAGTTGACACTCCCAATTAATGTCATTTTTCACGCCAAAAAAATAATTAAAAACATGATATGTTTTTTCCAAAGTGGCTGATGACGTCATAAGAGGGAGGAAAAAGTGACGTCATAAAACAAAGCATGATATGTTTTTTTCCAAAGTGGCTGATGACGTCATAAGAGGGAGGAAAAAGTGACGTCATAAAACAAAGCATGATATGTTTTTTTCCAAAGTGGATGATGACGTCATAAGAGGGAGGAAAAAGTGACGTCATAAAACAAAGCATGATGTTTTTTTTCAAAGTGGCTGATGACGTCATAAGAGGGAGGAAAAAGTGACGTCATAAAACCATTTAAATAAAACATCCTAAAATTCAGTGATTTTTATCATTTCAATCTCAGTTCATTAAGAATATAATTATGTAACAAGATGTACCTACATTTTCCATGAGGAAAGCGTTGACTAGCCAAGGTGTCTATCTAATCGTACTGCATCCTCTTTCCATAAAGGTAATACATGTAAGATAATTATCGTATCAATTAATTAGTTTATTATGATATGTAATATATTATTTAACAACTCAATCAATCTATATCAAATAAAGTTATTGGAACAAATTTTACCTCGTAATTACACGGAAGAAAATCTCTTAAAGTTTTCTGGTAGGAATCTTACTTTGAGCCACTGTCGCTTCTCCTCAGTTCAGGGAAGACAGCACCGCCATTAACAAGAACACGTTAAGCACAGCAGTCATAACAGACGACATCAATAACAAGAACACGTTAAGCACAGCAGTCATAACAGACGACATCAATAACAAGAACAAATAACAATAATATTAACAAAGATCCTAACACTAACACAGTCATAACAAAAACAACAATGAAAATAATACAAACTAAATTAACAGCAGTAATAAAGACGTTAATAATTCAAATAATAACAACAATAAGAACAACAACAATAACAGCAATAATTATAACAAGAACAAAAGAATAACAATTAAAGAGAGTAACAAAAACATTAACAACAAAAACGCGAAACAACGTTAAAATTAACTACGGTAACAGGTAACAACATTAATTTTAAATAAAATAACAGGTAACATCAGTAACAGCTAACAACAGTAACACGTAACGACAGTGACAGCTAACAGCATCAACAGCTAACAACAGCAATAGCTAACACAATAACAAATAACAACAGAAACAAATGACATCCGTAACAGGTAACAACAGGAACAAATGACATCCGTAACAGGTAACAACAGAAACAAATGACATCCGTAACAGGTAACAACAGTAGCAAATGCCATCCGTAACAGGTAACAACAGAAACAAAGACATCCGTAACAGGTAACAACAGTAGCAAATGACATCCGTAACAGGTAACAACAGAAACAAATGACATCCGTAACAGGTAACACCAGTAGCAAATGACAACAATAACAGGTAACAACAGTAATAGATAACAACAGTAACCAATGACATCAATAACATGTAACAGCACCTAACAACAGTAACACCCAACAACAGTAACAAATAACAACAGTTAACAGGTGTGGTGGCAGGTCCGACCCCCCTTCCCCTCCCCCGCTAATCAGCCGGTAAAGGGACCTTGCTCGCCCATGTGTCTAAATGCCAAGCGGTGAAGGCCAGTCCTGAAGAAAAACCAGCTGTAAACTAGCCAAAGGACCCTCACGGATACTAGTCTAGGAATAACCAGGGACCAATCAGTCTAATATGACCTACAAGGAGCACCTTCAATAGCCAACAAGGTTTCCACGGTAACATAACAGGTCACCGTCTTTTAAGAATTAACATCTTTGAGGGATATGTAAAGTCGTAGTATTTTGTCAATGTATCTAAAGGTATATATATATATTATTTCACCTATCTTTACTACCTATCTGCTCTAATCACACAAAATAATATAATACCCTTGGTACTTATTTCTTAATTATTTTTTTAAACACCTGTGAAGATATGTTCTTTATAATATTCGTTAAAAAAGAAATATGAGAACTTACAAATACAGCTTCGAGGTTGTGTCCCAGGTTTGGTAATTAGGCGCAGGTGAATAATTCCAACGTCCCGGTAATTTTATCCTGAAGAAAGTGAAAGTCAATCGGTGATCCGTGGACGCATTATACGGTCGAGTTTAAGAGGTGGTGACGCCTAGTTCATGTTCTTGTTGATTATTACTGGCTGACATACATTAACTCAGCTCTTTAACTAATTGCTTCGCTGATTAAATTACTGGTTGGATAAATAAGGTGGTTACGTCAATACTGTGGCACTAATGAGAGGTTGTGAGTCTGGCTGTGTGTTTTTCTCCAGCATTGTAAACACTGAGAGAATACTTGATATATAAAAATGATAGAAAAGTCAGAAGTCTGGAAGTTTAAAAAATAATCACCAATTGTCCGGAATAGATGAAGGCTTCCTGTTTTTGAGCTTCATCCTACGAGGTCAACTATCTTACTGCTTGGGCCTGTCACTATTCAAACACTGTCCCTCAACGCTATTCCATATTCAACTGCAATTTTCGTTAAATAGGGATAACGTTTTCTTTTTATTGCTACAACTTAATAGGAAAGCATTTTTATACGGTAAAATTATCTGTTTCATTTAAAACGTCATTTACCATCGTAAGAGATCCAGATTATATCTAAAGTAGGATAGGTTCTATATCAGGTGAGGGTAGGTTTTCTATGAAGCTATTCATTGATATATACAGCATTAGGATTGTCACTATGATCGTTTGTGGCTAGTCAGAACTTTTCAATATATATATATATATGATCTTAAGGACTGAAACAAACTTCTTTATCTGTAAACTGAATCTGAAACACAAAATAATGGATCTTGACCACCATATGGCAACAACGTAAAAATATGCAAATTCCCCTCCAATTACGGAAAAAGGAAATTAATATTGTTTCCCCTTGCCGGCTCATACTGCCAAGACTACTTGTACATTATTAAAGCATTTAGGGAAATTTTCACACTTACTGTGTCTTCACTACATACAAAAATCATGATATAAGTTTCATACAAGGAAAACATAAATATTAATAAAATACTTATAACAAATAACACTAATTTCACAGTACCAGGAAATGTTTAAGTTTAGTGAGTCGAGAACGAGTAGAAATCATCTAAGAAAAACTAGATAAAGGTTAAGTAAAAAAGCTTAGTCCATATGTGAAAGTTATTTACTGAAAAAAAAATGATCGCTTACACCACAAAAACAAGTTACCATGGAAGGTCGGTCAAGGAAAACCAAGGGCCAAAAAATTCGCTTGTTTTACGATTATCAATGAGAAAAAAAAAAGATTATCATGAACAACTAAAAAAAAAAAACGACTGTATGGACTTATCTTTTAATGAAGAAAAATTACGACTGAAGAATCACTCGAAAGAAATTGGTTAGATGTGTAAATGGAGTGAACCGAATTAATGCATTTTTTTTCTTTGTTACTGAAGTGAAAGGTGAATAAACAAGACTGCAATTGTGTTCTCTTCTTTTATCACCTCTCTCTCTCTCTCTCTCTCTCTCTCTCTCTCTCTCTCTCTCTCTCCTTCCTTTTTTTTTCTTCCTTAGCTCTTTTTCTCTCTTCTTCTAAACCTCTTTCCCTTTCTCATTTTTATTATCTTCCTTTATTTATTTATTTTTATCGTTGTCTATCTTCATATCTTTCTCTTTACCTATATAATGTATGATGTGTTTTAAGAAGATGGAAAGTAAACGGGAAATTTCAATAAGTTCTCTTTAAGTTAGGAAAATTAGGTAAACAGTTCTCAAAGGTTGGGAGTTACTGTTTGCTCTCGTCTATTATTTATTATTATTATTGTTGTTGTTGTTGTTGTTGTTTATTTTGTTGTTGTTGATTTTGTTTTTTTGTTGTTGTTTTGTTGTTGTTTGTTGTTGTTGTTGTTGTTGTTGTTGTTGCATAAAAACAACTCTATCAGAACATCATATTATCTAAACTTGTATTTACATTGATAAAATCTCGAAATAATGATGCCGTCACCTTTGAAATTTGCTCTACCTGTACACTAAATCTTAATCAATTCTTGTACAGGTGTAAAATACTCTCATCTCTCGTAGTAAAATTCACTTTCCTAAACTTCTTATACCTGATCCTCACCAATCTCGAATGTGACCTTACTCCATAACCAAGGTCACCAATAGGGTAACCCATAAAGGTCAGAGCACCAAGGCAGGGGTCGTGATGGCACGGGGGATGATAGTGTTATAAGGTTAGAGGGTAAAGGTAGGACTCTGAGGGAAGGAAAAAAATATATAATGAATGTTTAAGTTGAGGGTGTGGTCGCTGTGGTGTTGTTTAGCACTGTTGGAGTGTGTAGGTGAGAGTGTGTGGAGGTAAGAGTGTGTGGAGGTAAGACTGTGTGTAGGTAGGTGTGTGGAGGTAGGTGTGTGGAGGTAGGTGTGTGGGTGGTGTGGAGTGGGTGTGGGTGGGGTGTGGAGGAGAGAGTGTGTGGAGGTAGGTGTGT